TTGGCCAGTGGTGCGGTTTGGACTCATTGATGGATGCTGCACCTCTATATGTGAAAGAGCCGGAAAAATTCGGCCCCTGGGTCCCAATGCTACCCCGTTTTTAAAGTCCAACAAGGCAAAGTTATTAAAATTTTAGGTGCGCAAGCTTAGAAACATGCAGATTTACCGCTTAGATCTGTGAAATAATGCACTCTTTCATGTTTCTATTTTAAATTAAACACACGTAGTCATTGCAGATTTTTGTCCTTTTTTTTTGAGGGAAAAAAAAATTAAAAAAAGTGCAACCGTCGGGAGTCAGCGAGACGCAAATAGAATTTGAATAAATACACGTGCACGTGGTACTAGTCAGTGGGAGACAATTTTTTCTGTGTGCACGCTCCGCAATTTTCAGAGATGCGTAATTATGTAAAAACCGCCTCCCTCCCTCCCCCCCAAAAAAAGAAATTCTATGAGTAAAAAATCGATTATTTTGGGATGAGGTACGGCTCTTGAAACCTGCATTTTCTTTGCATCGCGCGGGATTTTATGAAAGTATTGCGACTTATTGGAAAGTGAGTCTGTTTGTGCGCTTGCCTGAAAGACAGCTGACTCACACCAGCACTTGGTACAAATACCTCGAAGCTCGGTACTTGAAATTTCTGAGAAACTCGGAGCGGTGAAAATGGCACGCGATCGGAGATAGTGCTGAAAATCCATAGTTTGAGACGTAGGTATACGATTAAAATGAACTGCCTAGACTTTTCCTAAATTTCGGGAAACTCTACAAAATTGTCGTTTAAATATGTGTGATCGATTTCTTTCAAATATTCTTAAACGGAACTGCGAACGAAAAAGGGAATCGCGAAAATAATCAGTGGGTAGAAAAAGTTTTAAAAAATTCCCGGAATTTTTAAAAATTAAGAAAAGCAACACTTAGGAAATAGTATGTTTTCGTCCTAATTTTTGTATTTAACTTGCTTGGGTCTGCCTAAGTCTAGTTGCGAAATAGCTTTTGAAATCTCAACTACTGTCTGCACTGTCATAGACTAAGGAAGAACGTCGTAAGCGCTTTTAGGAGTTACTAAATTTCTTTCGATAAAATACATAATTTGAGAGTAACTTGTACCTAAACCTTTTTTTCCAATTTCTCAACGCATTTTAATTATGCATGGAGTCGCAAAATGCGTGTTTTTCCAGGATTTAAAAAATAATAATCGATTGAAGTTGGTCCACGGTTAGAAATGTTTATGCACCGTTTCTAACTGTGGTACCGCTCCTATCGATTATTTTTTTAAAATCTTGAAAAAACTACGCATCATGTGACTCGCCACATATCTAACGGCTCGCAAAGCCTCAACTGGATATACAGTAGACTCTGGATTATCCGGATTAATTGGTGCCGGGCCCGATCCGGATAAAAAACAATCCGGATAATAATGGTTAACACAAACACCACCAACCAACACCACAGTATACTTATTATATATACATCATGTACATACTAACACGAATTTAAAAGGTTAACGCCAAATTGAACGACTCAATGGTGATTGTAAATGGTAGCCGACAACGATAAATTACAATACAACGATTTAAGCGCGCAATGCATGAAGTATTCATACAGTCTTGTAGCCGCTGATGTGCGTTTTAGGCTATAACTAACCGACTGCACTGCGTTTGGGGTAATGCGAGAAGTATTTATACAATCTAGCAGGCGCTAATGCGTTCCACGCCGACCTCACTGTTTGGCGCAATGCGTGAAGTATTCCTTCAGCCTTGCAGGCGCCAATATGCCTTGCGATCGCTTCTCCGTGGATCCGCTCACTTATCGGAATGCGTACATAGTTACATGGTTGCAAAACCGATCCGGATAATCCAGAGTCCGGTTAATACGAAGCCGGATAATCCAGAGTCTACTGTAAACATCATAACCTAATGTGAAACATCGCAAAAATGAACATAAACAATCTGCAGTTTTTTTACATTGTTGTATACGCTGAAGATGGAGTATAAATGTCTCTGAAATGCATTCGTACAATGTATTACTTAAACATTTAAATGGTGAATAAACATTTCTAATGGCCTGGTTACACGATCAAATTCCCGTCACATTCCGATCAAATGGTGACTGGTGCGCACCATCTACCATCAAACTTCTGCGGCTTACAAAAATTTGATGGTAGATGATGAAGCTGTGGGGCTCAAATCATCTGATTTCCACACAACCGTGCTTATTTCATGCTTATTTCAATCAACACGCTGTTTTAATTAATTTTACTCATCAATCTAGATAACTCTCGACCGCCATCTTGGTCATCATTTTGATCGGAATTTGACGGAGATTTAATCGTGTAACCAGGCCATAACCGTGGTCCGGCTCCAATCAATTATTATTTTTTTTTAAATTTTATTTACCTAATCTACAGTATCTGGAAAATTTCAAGTAGAAATACTCATAAGATTCCTTAAAAACTGAAGCCAATTTGGAGACATTTGCAATAACATGTGGCATTTTTGTTGGAGTGGTAATTTCGTTATTTTGATACGAGTCCTTCGGGCGCTGAGGAGGAAGAGAGAGACGACGCAACGAGACAGTGTGTCAATTAATATCGTAAGTAACGAGCTGCAATAATTGGTTGTAGGGCCAGAGTCTTCTCTAAATAGTTGGGCCAATTAATTGGGCTCAACTGTTTTCAAACGGCGGGAACCACCGGGGCATTGCTCGTTTGAAATGAATCGTACTCGATAATGGTTCAATAAAATAGAACATAACCTCAAACAAAAATTTTAGAGTGTAAGTTAGAAAAGCTGAAAAAGATTAAGTTTCAAACAAATTCACTTTTCATTGTCATGTGGTACTCATAAAAATAAAAAATCCATCACAAAAAAACCCGTCCCCACAGATTACCCGATTGACTTTTGAGGCTATATTTACATGTTGAACCAATCGATATAGATACGATCTCGACTGCTTGATGTATCGAATACGATCCATTGTTCATTTCTGAAGTTGGGAGGTCAGAGACGTCAATATTTATCGTTTCCCTCAAGAAAGGACATAACTACGGTGCTAAGGAAAAACGCCGTATGAACCTTCAGGCGCTGCCAAATTTCCCTTGATAAAACACGAATTTTCTGGTTAACTTATGAATATTTTTCTTTCAATTTTTCAAATAATAATGCTCGCAATTCCACCGAAAAAACCTGAAAATTTTAAAGGAAAATATTCATTAGTATCCTCAAAAATGAACATTTTACCGAAGGAAATGGGGCAACTCTTGAATGTTCAAACGGCGTTCTTTCTTAGCACGGCATATAACCGCATTCCAATATTGCCAAATTCCCTCTCGCAAATTGCATTTTTACCAGGAATATTTTGGAAATTTCTAACTGAAACCTTCACTAAGTAATTCTTTTATGACTTCATGCAAAAATTAGAAAAATTTTGGACAAAAATTTTACAAATGCTTCGGTAAGTATATTCTTGTAAAAAAATTTAATTGTTTAAGTCAATTTTGCAACCTTGGAATGGAGTTACGATCCTTTGTGCGGGAAAAGACGTATTGCCAAATCCAAAGGAGGGATTGGGGACAAAGCCTTAAATATAATTCCTAAAAATTTCCTTTAAGTGATAAAATTCAACCGAAAAAGGTCAACTTTTGAGAAACAACGATTTGAAAAAGCCAGAATGCTAAGATTTTCCTTCCGCATGAAACCACATGACTGCTCCAGAGTTCGAATATATGTAGTTGCGCGCTTGGTGTCCGCTTTAATCAGTGTTAATTCATTAAAAATTCTTCAGAAAATTTCCGAGAACATTAAAAAAATAGAGCAATTTTCAGCAGTTTGGTAGGAACATTAAAACTTATGCGTTATTCGCCTCAATATCGCAGCAAATAGGTACGGAGTTTTTTTTTATCAGCCATTATCAGCCATGCCAGCTTGATAGTCAACAGATTCGGCAGTGACAAGCAAAATTAGCTGACAAATTTCTGGTCTTGTACCGGATTTCCAGACAGTAATCAAAGTCCCTGACATATCCTTCCCTGTGGACACCCTCCCACGAGAATCAGCCTGATAAACATCTAGACCTCATTGGTACAAGAAATCACGTCCTTTTTTAAAATATGTAGATTAGAATAAATTATTCATTGGACGCTGGTTTTCCTTCCTCACAACATGACTACAACGGAGAAAGAAAAGATTGTACACAAGTTACATCAGCCTGTATGCGTCAATCATCGGTTGACCAATTGGTTGGCACGTAAATTGCTGTTGAATGGTGCTATTTTTTGATGTAACATTGGTCCAGTCTTTTCATTTCCCAGTTCTCCTGTACATATGACTGGCTTTTAAAATTTTGACACGTTTAAGAACCAATGGGCTCTTAGTTCGAATATATGTCAGGACAACAAGACATCATTAAATTGATACATTATGCAATAAGTGCAGACAGGGCCATGCCTTATCATATCTTGCCAACATGGCAAGAAATAGTTTCAACATTTGTCACACTGTGCCGTTTCATTTAAGTTGATAACAATTGCATAGGAACCATTTTAATCAATTTTGAATGTGACAATATCTGGGTGACACAGTCTGATTTCCTCACATACATTTAAATGAACATACTCCAGGTCACTACCTCTAGCAAGAATCGCAACTGATAAAAAGGAACTCCTGAAACACTCTAAAAGTCAGTTGAGGTAAAGTCCGAGTCAGGTAAGTATACGTGCCTTCAGACTGTAGTAGCAGACTTGCCATCTTAATTCTTATATTTACCCTGAGTCTAAATGGAAGAAAGACGTTCTTCTAGTATGCACTTCTGCAAGTGCGTGTATTTGCTTAGCGTGGACTCTCATGGGTCTAAACCCTGTGGTGCGAGTGGAGCCATAGCGGTTAAAGCTACACATACAATCTGACCTATCTGAGGCATCAGGTGTGTTGTGTTCTAATGCACAGTGTCCTGCATGACCAACGGTCAGAACCAGAATAGTTAAGAACTATGATCGTTATCATACCTCCGCAACATTCGAGTTGTCCGTTCCATTGCACAAATTCAGAGCATCACATAACTTTTGAACATCGACACTGGTGGAATTAGAGTGCGAATCTGCAGCAAGACTCCTGCTCGATAGGAGGAATACACAAACACTACAAAAACTAACACTTCTCAAATTCATTGTGATCGTACTTTTCCGGCACTAGCTTTGGCTTGAGCATGACACAAGGTCGATCAGGACGCGGACTTCACACACTTGACGGTAAGGACGGTACACCGGCAAGACGATATAGAGCTCATCGGCTGATGATGAAGGAAATCGAGGGGAAACTCGTAATGAAATGGAAAATCGGCGAAAAGGTGACACGACGTAGTCTCACCACGACGACCGAATTCCACATTTGTGGTTAGGTTACCGTCCGGCTCCCGTTTGTTTACTGCGCAGAGCTCCCGCGCAGATCACTCCACGCTGCCACGTTGCTTACAAAATGAACATTTTTCACCTCTCGTGAGTCTCGTGACGAAGATGGAAATACATACGAAAATTTCTTGCGAATCAGCTAAGAGAATTGAAAATTGGACCATTGCAATAAAGGAACTACTATTTCTGGCTCATTTTAGAAAAAAAATGTATGCCATCGGTTTCCCTGTGCAGAAAGGTGCTTTAACAGAGGAGCCAAAGATGGTGGTTCTTTATTGCAAAATCTAATCCAAATTAAGTAAACTTTTTGTGAAATTTCAACGATTTTTCAGTCGCCGCGTGTGCAACTCGCAAAATTTTGATCCGCAATTTCGCAGCCCTCTTGAGTCAAATCATTCAAAGCTCAGAAAGACTATTCACGTTATGTTTGTTGCCTATACGGCATAATTGAAGGCGAAACTCCAGTTGACGAGACCTGCCGAAGGTTAACACATTCTTTACTAGCCTCATCAAAGTCTCTGGAGTAAGGTATACCTTCGTGTGTGTGTGTGTGTGTGTGTGTTTTTTTAAATAGAATCGCGCGCCAAAATACACCAACATTGAAAAAATGATGGAGAGTGCGGATTTTGAGATGGTGATTTTGAAATTGACAATCGCTGGCCACTGTAGTTTTTTACGTGTAGAAAGAAATTATACGTAGGTAGGTATGGCATGAACTGACAACATCATGAAACGCATTCAGAGAATTTTTAAGTTGAATTCGCTTAGGTGGTGACGTGAACAATAAGTAATAATCTGCGTACTTCACGTGCTTAGCAATTAAACAGTGAATACTCTCTTGACTTTAGTGGACATTGTTAGCGTGTCACTGCACAATACATGTGTTTTACTGCTGGTATTCAAATTCTTTTTTTTAAAATTTTAATACTCTATTTTATCATCAAAATGTGTTTGGAATTAATGATGAACCATTTGTGGCAAACCATACTTCAATGAGTTTGATCAGTAGTTTTAATTTTTGCATATATTAAAGGTAGAGTGCGCACAGGAATTTTTCCAGCTCTTGTGGAGCTTTGTTAAACCTCGAACAGACTTGAGGATTTTAAGTTCCATTTAAAGGCGCATCGCCAAAGAGTTTGACAGGACGTCCGATAATAACTATCTCACCGAGGTCACTTTTTCAACCATCCTTCTACCACAATCCATGTTCTGTGCAGTCGTTATCTATGTACGGCTGCACTAGCCATGGATCGCGACAGTGGTACCTCTCCGTTAAAGATTAGATCAGGGAGGAAGGGATATTTTTGGACACCATGTAACCATCTTTTTAATTAAGTTGCATCCACTGATTCTGTATTTTTCTACGTTTCCCAAGGATCTACCATTCACATTTGAGAGATGATCAATAAATCGACAGACATGGACAGTCATGCTGAGGAAAATGTCGTATGAACATTCGAATGTTGCCAAATGTCTCTCGATATAGTTTCATTTTTGAAGAAAGTTAGGATTTCAGGAGATCTAGATCAGAGTTTGGACAATCTTCTCTGAAAAATTGGAAGAATATATCCAAAAATTTCTCAAAAAAATCTGTGTTTTATCAAAGGGAAGTTGGCAACAGCCGAAGGTTTATACGTCGTTTTTCTTTAGCAAAGCAGCATAGTTTTCATATACACCTACAAGTCCTTCTTCATCGCGAGATAAGGATTACGGTCGGTGGCGAAGCGTGAATAATCTATTATCGATATTTCCCCCATTTGAAGGTATAGTAAATAATTGAATATTAAGGTGTTCGTCGCGAGCACCCTACATTTATTGATCTATCTCAATAGGTTTGAATGACAAATCAATTGATGTATCGAAAAGCACGCCACGCCACTAATTATGGTACTGCATAAAGTATAATGGTTGGAGCGCCACCGCATCGCCTGGAAACGAAATCGCTCCTAGTTCGCCTTCAAATTTGGCGATGCAACCTAACCCCACACCGGAGTTAATTAAGTTGCATCCACCGATGAGCTGTATCCTGAATGTTTCTGCGCATCCTGAGGTGTATATGATCAGTGTGAGAGGGATACCTCTAGGGGGACTTCAACGCACAGCTGAAAACGTAGAGGTCACTTTCAAGTTCTCACCTCCTTGCGCTTATTTTAGTCAATATGACTCTTTGACTTGTATATTGTTTGTATGGAATGGACATGGGCAGTGAAAGAGGGACTTTCAAGGAGACTTCAACGCAAAGTTATAAAAATAGAGGTTACTTTCAAACCTCTCATTCTCTTAGGCTAATTCCTTGCTAATTCCGGCTCAGTCATATGATTCATCAATCGATATGTGTATATTACTTGCACACAATGAGGGGTTATAGGACATTTTGTCGACGATTTTTTGTCCGCTTACCTGTTTTTTCCAGTAATTTACGTCCACGCGTTTTTTCGGCACGGTATTTTTTGAGGGTTGAAACGAATGAGGGTTTGCTGTTTTTTTTTTTTTTTTTTTTTACTTGTTTGGTCCAACGGAGAATAATATATAATTGAGATTTTTGGTAAAAATGGGAGAGCGTTAACTCCATGAGACAAAAATCACTAAGACTCTTTACACCTCTTCAGGTGCAGCAGGACTTAATTATCTTTCAAGAAATTCCCACATCGTCATACCTGAACCGGATAAACCTCTTGATTTGCCTCAGCTAAAGGCTCTTCGATTGTTCCTGGGTACGATAAGTATCTTGATTTATTTTGCGAGGAAAGATCTGTTTTTTTAAAGGATGCCTGTCATTCTTAATACTTCAATTTCGTATAATACTGTGCAACACCTCTGTTGTAAAATAGTTGCTTCAGGCGCCGCCGCACAGCGGGCGGGCGGCCAGCGCGAAACGCGCATTGGCTCCTACAAACCTAAGTGGATACTTCAAGCATTGTGCAATGCGTGAAGTATTCACTGAGGTTTGTAGGTGCCAGTGAGTCTCTCGAGCTGGCAGCACGCCGCTCCGTTCTATTAGGTTTTAATATTTATACTCGCATTCAGCGTTTTTTAACTCATGTTTTTGAAATGTTTGCACACTCTGCATTGATTATTCTCATTTAAATTGATGAAAAAAAAATGTATGCATCAATTTATCAAAGGAGAATAATAATATAATGTGTGTTTTTTGAATATTGGTAGTTCCGTGTCTTTTGAAGACTGTTTTGACGTTCGAAATATTGTTTCTGAACTGTGAATTTTAGATGGGAGAAAATTCACGACAAGTTTAATTCAAAGCTACCCCCACCTCATTTTTCTCTAAAATGCAACTTGGTGAGTTCTTGCTAGTTTTAGTCCGCCTGTACACTGAAAAAAAAAACCACATTGGATCTAGAGTCCAGACTCTTGAAAACATTGACAAGAAAAAATACTTTTGATTCAATCGGATTTTTGCTTGCATCAAAACGAAATCCGCTTAAATTAAGAGGCTTGGTTCTTGATTTAAGCTAGATTCTGATTGAATCAAGAGTACTTTTTCTTGTCGATGTTTTTAAGAGTCTGGACTCTAGATACAATGTGTTTTTTTTTCCAGTGTATTTTTAGGGGTTTTTTCAAGTTTACGTGTGTGAAACTTAATTCAATCGAAAAATCGTGTACATTTTCGGAAAGAACGTAAAAAAATACATAAAAATGTGATTTGTACCTTTCCCCAACGTTGCCAAATTTTCGAGAAAAGTCGTCCTAAAGTGCCAAAAATGCCAAAAATTGGATTAATCATCACGTCGAAGGTTCCAGGAAGTGAATTTCAAGTTTTCTTTCACTACAAATAACGTATCGAAAATGGAAAATTGCAATGCATCTCACGGAACATGTAATGGCGCAGATGAACGTAACAAAACGGGCCCTCAAGGTGCTTTTACTTTATCCTTCACTCCAGTTCACCTCTTTATTCCTGTAACTTCGAGATAATCCTTAGTCCTCAAGATGCTTGCTACAGGCCAAATATACCGAACAACAGAAAATGCGTGGAAAAAGCGTCTCACGATCCACATGAAAGTCATAATTCACTTCCTGGAACCTTCGACGTGATGATTAATCCAATTTTTGGCATTTTTGGCGCTTTAGGACGACTTTTCTCGAAAATTTGGCAACGTTGGGGAAAGGTACAAATCACATTTTTATGTATTTTTTTACGTTCTTTCCGAAAATGTACACGATTTTTCGATTGAATTAAGTTTCACACACGTAAACTTGAAAAAAACCCTAAAAATTGGTGAAAATTGGCAACAATGGACCGTTAGGCCCTTTAAAATTCACAGGAAGCCATTTTTATGGCCAGATATGAAAAGTACGTAGATAAATACATATAGTTCACATCCATAGAGGGTGACTAAGGTCGAAAAACATTCAAAAGAGCTACCTTCAAGTAAAAAAAGGCCGCTAAAATCGACATCTCGGTCAATTTTCACATCGTGGGAATCCAGGTACAACTATGATATTTTAATATGTTGTATAGATGGATAAGATAAAAATAAACTGCCAAAATCGAAATTAAGATTATTAATCTTATCAAAAGCTTAAACCCAAGATACCAGAAATAGTTAATTACTAATCATTTAATTAAAAACCCAAGGAAAGGAGGAAATCCAGAAATTCTTAAACCATAAATAAAAATTATAACTTTTGAAGATAAATTTATAGATCTAAACTTAAATTGATTAACATAAAAAATGTTGTACTTTATCAAAACATTAATTAATCAACAAAGCATAGCTACATATCTTGCAAAATATATTAAAAAAAATCTTAATCTAATTCTTATACTATAAATAAACCAACAAATGTTAACTATAGACCTATACCCCATCATTTTTTGAATATTACTATTGTTTAACCCTATCAACCTACCGAAAATAGCAGAAATCGTGTTATCTGGTACAATATGAAAGTTGTACTCCACTTTCTTGAACCTTAGACGCGGCGATTTATCGATTTTTTGCCGTTTTTGACACTTTGGGACCAATTTTCTCGGAAATT